CCAGTCTCCAACAACCTATATTCAAATTGTCAGAACGTTAAGTATTGTCAACTACAACATTCAATCTACGCTTTTAACAATTTACCACAAACGATTTTTTTCTATCCACTTACAAAATCACCAGTTGCCCCTGTAGAACCGATCGATTCCATCCACATCATCACATACATGCCGCAATCATATCTGTTACAAAATTTGAAAACACAGTCATTATGATGAATACTGCATAAATTAAGCTTTCTATTTGTGATAACATCTCATACCCATTCAATTGCTTATTCTTCTTATGCTCCACAAATTTGAAATTTTTCAAGGGATACTTCCTAGAGATCCACAGGACTCAACCCAAATGCGTTTCTTATTATAAGAATCTAATATTTTAATCTGCATTAAAATAGAAGAAGTTATGCACCAAAAAATAATTTAATGTCCTTTCATCATACATACCAATCTCTTAGCATCATTCACTCTCTGTTTAGCTGCTTCAGTTGTAAACAATATCATATATTGTTACAACATGATCTACCATATCCAACACCAACAGATACCATGTGAATTATGGTAGTTTATTGTGATCATGATCTGCAACAAATTTCACACCCAATTTGACAAAATCAACATTCTATATCCGAAAACATCATTTGCAATTGGTATGGTGTCTTACCTTCTCACAGTCGTGAATTTCACATAGTTATCCAATATGACACCCCAGAAGTAGAATACTCTCAACACTTTCTTTGTTGTTGGCATCCAACGCCTGTTGCTGTAATTACGCAACAAACTTATTAATTTACCGTCTATAACACTACTTTTCAATATTTATAATTTAACTCACCACTAGAGGTATGGAAGGTAGCCAATCCTCCGGAGTGACTTTTGAGAATCGTAGCATGGTCCAAGCGAGCAAATCGATAAACCTAACAAAATTAATTACACAATCAAACATATTCAATAAGTTTTAAATTTTCACTTTTACTACCACCACCGCCAACCCACGTAGCAACTCGTACAGTAGCGAATTGATTTCCCATTGAGATTACAGAATATCTGTATGAATCATTAGGATTAATGTGTTGTCATGAAATATTTAAATATCACTCATAAACAATATATTTCACTTACCCCGATTCTAACTCGCTATTCCATAAATAATCACAAATTGCAGCTTCGATGTCATCAATTCCGCTTGGAATATCCGCTTTTTCAACCTACAATTTTGCATACAAATTTTTGTCACAACAACATAAAAATCAAATTAAGTATTCTTTTTTAAACTTACCTTGTGCTTCTTCTTCTGGGATGCAGGACATTCCGAATCCAAAACTGCTGCTATAACACTCTCGGTGTATAAATGACATCGACTTCCTTCCTCCTCATTTCTTCATCTCTTCTTTTCCTCCTCCCTCTTTTCTTCTTCATATTTTTTCAGTTCATCGTACTTTTTTTCTACTAGCTCTTCATCTCTTTTATTTCACCCTTCAATTGAGCTCATCATCCGAGTATTTATCAACCACCCCCTTCACCCCCGTAAGTTCACTCCTCAAATCCACAACCTCCTTCACCACTCCCTCAAATTTTTCTCCCGTCACCATCTTAATATCACCCTTAACACCCCAACTTCTTTCACCACTTCACCTCAACACCTCTACTTCTTTCACTCCATCTATTTTTCCTTCCACTACCCCCTTATGCCTCTCGAGTGTATCTTCGACTCTCTCGAGTTTCTCTACGACTCGATCAGTTTCTCTTCGACTCTGATTGTCTTTGCATGATTTCAAATTGGATTTTTTGATATCAGCCATTCAGACATCAAAATGTCGAAGTTACTCTGTTTTCCCTCACCGTCGTCCCACTCACCGTCATCCCCCAATACAACCATCCCTCCTTTCTTCTCCTCTGCCTCCACTGCCTCTCTACATCCTTGCCAATAACCTTCAAAATTAAATTACAATATTAAGACATTGATTATATTCTTAAATTATTAATTACATTTATTATCATTTCTTGCTTTTCCCTCTATCCAACTTCAACTTCACCATCACTCTAACCACCTCTTCCTTCCCCCATGCACGGATGCGTGCCACTCCGGTTTTTTCATAAGCCGGCACTGCCTCACAGCCCGACCAAAAATCGAACAGTGCAACCTACATTTATAATAAATTTATATTTTTATATAAAAACACAAAAAAGTGATTCAACTCATTTACCTCTAAGATTACTATGCACCCTTTGAGGTATCTCTGGCTGCCCTTTTTAAAGGTGATTATTGATTCAATCAATCTCGAATGGATATATTCAGCCCAACTGAATTCACCTTTCAAGCCTTCATCGCAAATGAGCTTCATATATTCCTTGTTCGTTGACGTATCACCCGTTGGACAAAGAAATATCCCGACAAGGTACAATAGAACTCGGGCCTTCAGCTCATCCCCCCAGTAAGATCCACTTTTGATATCCTCTTCAACTTCAGCATATGCCACCTTATGATTCAAACCATATTTGGAGGCAAGTGCTTTCCAGTTCTTACTCCTACAGACTTCTATAACACTTTTTCCTTTGTTTTGTACCCCCAATACGGCTGCAGCAGTCGATACCCCCAGAGGGAATGAATAATCACCATACTTAGCCATACATTGACTGACGTCAAATTGTGCCATCAAGGATCGACACAATTCCCTCCGAATAGGTCGATCCTTACTCCGATCAACGATCCAAAAACCTATTTCTCCCAGCACATTCAACTGACCCTTCTCCTTAAGGTGTTTAATTAATAAATTCACCCTTTTAATGCTGCATCTTGTCGACACTTCCTACATTTTTTAACAATATATAATGTTATAGTTCTTATATTTTGTATCAACGTATTTACAAGTTAAGGAATACCTTATTTTCATGTGCTTTCCTCCGTTCTTTGTATTCTTTACTATCATTCATTGACTGTGTGATGTAAGGTTCCTTTTCAGCATCACTCATGAATTCCATTTGGACCTCACATCTTTTTCACCTAATATTAAACATAAACGTTTCTTAATCAATACATTAACAAAATAATACTACTCAATGTCAATTTCATTTTACATACCGAACCGCTCTGTGTGCCATCTCTCTTCATCCTTTTGCGTTCGGCCATACTGTTAACATTTAAAATTTGTAATCAATTTAAAGTTTATCGATACTTTAATCTAATTACCATTTCAACTAATAACAAAAGACATTGATACTTACTAGAAGTACATATCCACCCTTTGGTTGCTTTCGAGTCTCAGCCTCAATTTCAAAGTCATCTGCTCCACCAACAATTTTCCAACCCATTGACTCCATTTTCCTTCATATATCAGTTTACGCAAATCAAATTATTTTGTTACATACACTTTATTCAATATACAAATATAGATAACTACTCTTGTGGTAAAACGGTTTTCTTCAAAAGAATTTGAATGGTCACACCAAAATGTGTCGGCACATTTATACAACCTATAATATCATTTTCTACCTAATATTTAATAAAAGTATCGACATTTATATTTTTCCTTGAATATCTATTTCTACCTGCAATCGGTCCCAAATGCTTCCTTACTCCAAAACCCCAAACACATAAAAAAACCCTATCGCGATTACTGTAATAATAAAAAATTAGGGTTTCGACAACATACTTTTCGATCGACTGCAGCAACAACAAACAAACTTCGCTTTAGAAACGCCTTCTGAAATGCAGCAACAATTACTCTTCGATTTCAAAAACTCGTCCGTTCTATCTTTTTTCAGAGGATATTTAGCTATGGCCTTTATATTTTCATCGGATATGTTATTTGTATTTAATCGATACAAATACAAAAGTGTCGATACTTTTATGTCAGGTGTCGATACTTTCGAAAGGATAATTACCTATTTCTTTGAAAGTGTCGATAATTTATTACACGTACTTACGAAAGTATCGACACTTTCAATATATCCGGTATCATTTTACCGGTTTTATCATTTTGATACCGGTTTTATCATATTTTACCTGTTATATCGTTGTGGATCGATATATTTTTAAAGTATCGACACATTATAGGCGCTATAACTGCTTCTCTTTTAAATTCACAAAGTGTCGATCCTTATATAAAGTATCGACACTTTTAATATATCCGGTAACGTTTTACCGGTTTTATCATTTTGTTACCGGTTTTATCATATTTTTACCTGGTATATAGTTTTGGATCGATACATTTTTTAAAAGTATCGACACTTTATAGGATTTAAAACTGCTTCTCTTTTAAATTCACGAAGTGTCGATCCTTATATTAAAGTACCGACACTTTAAATGTATCCAGTAGCGCTTGACCGATTTTATCATTTCTATACCGGTTTTGTCATAGTTTTACCTGTTATATCGTTTTGGATCGACACATTTTTAATTTGGATCGACACGAACCGGTAGCACAATTTTTTAATATTTCTTCATGACTTAGACCTACTTTTATAAAAATGATATATACTTTTTTTAAAGTTATGTAATTTATGTTTCAATTTTTTTAATAGTGTTTCATGTTTTCCACCTACAATATTAATTTAATAATTTCTTTTACACAAAAAATTATTTGATTGTTTTGATATTTTATAAAATATTATTTAGATTTTAAATTTAACAATATTAACTAAAGATAATAAATATATTTTCACAGTGAAATAAGTATGGACCTTTATAAAAAGGATAGATAATTTACAATATAACAGGTAAAAATATGACAAAACCAAATTTATTATGACAAAACCGGTAAAATTACTTGATAGTTAAAAGTATGGACACTTTATAAAAAGGATAGATACTTACCGATAACCAAAGTTTACCGATTACCAAATTTTTTAATAGTTTTTCATATTTTCTACCTAAAACATTATTAGTTGTCAACATAATAGGTACCGCTAAACCAAATTTATTAAATACATTTTAATGTATCCGATAATGCTGTATATTAGCCGTATATTAACCCGCCTTTCTGAGACATTCCTAACCAAGAGAGAGCTTAGTTTCCTGGATTTTTGAAATTCAACTTTCCCGCGTTTCCTAGGTTACCAAACAGGGGTGAAAAGTAAACAATTTTCTCTCATCTTCTAAATCTCACTTTAACTTTTTCATACCTTCACCATCGCCATTTGTTTTCTCTTTATTCTCGTTAGTTTCTGTGTGTTTGCTTAGAAAAACGAAGGAAAACGCAACGAAAAGAAAAGAAAAGGAAGAGGTACTAATATGGTCCGCTTTACAACGCTTGAATTTCCCCTCTTTTTACTGTTTTGATTCTCGTAGTTGTCGATTTTGAGCTCGAAAACAAGGGTTTCTTTAAGCATTTGAGTTATGGTTCCAAAATCACGGATTTTAGTAAATGATTTCTTAATCCATACTCTGTATATACGAATTAAATGTCATTTTTTCATTTTTTTTTTGCAGATGGAGTCTTTATATGCAAAACTTTACGATAAATATGACAAAAGGTATCGCAACTCCTCATTCCTCTAGCATTTTATTTTTAATAATGATAATTTTATATTTTTCACCTTTTCCCCTCTTCTTCTAAGATCTGATATACAATTTATTTCTCTATAAATTTGGTTACGAATAGAACTAAAGAAAAGAGCGAAATGTTTTGTTTTTCCTCGATAACGTGGAATAAGATTCAGCTGCTAGGTGTATGCGATTTCTTGTTAGTTTGATTAGAATGGAATTTTCGTTTTTTTCCTCCCTTTTTATCCGTTGTGATTCTCTTAATATGATTCGAGTTTCATTTCTTTTTCAGAAGAGAAAACTGTCTGAAATGGATGTCATACATAGAGATCAAGAAGAAAAATTCTTAAATTATGCGCGTGGTCATTATATTTACATGCTATAGTTACTATTTTTTTTTAATCTCTGTCTTCATATTTTATGTGAACCACAAAGTCTTCTCTTTGTCTTTGTTTTCTCTGGTGTTTATTGTGCGTATGTCATAGAAGTATAACTATCATTTGATTTCGGCTCCTACATTAAAGCTAAGTTATTATTGTAGACTTTCCTAATGAAATGTAAGGTAAAATAATGTGTTTTCTAATTCAACTTCATTTTATCTTGAGGTTGAATGTTTAATGGTTTGACATTGACTCATCTCATGACTGATAGTTTCACATTATGAATAGCTTTAAAATGGAAACAGGAGGCTTCTGTGTTTCACTAAAGGTATAGTTGTCTTTAGCATCTAAAAAATTTAATTTGTTGGTGATGGTAGAAACTAGCTACCATAGTTTTCTACAGAGCCGTATTCTGATAGTTGAACCAATATTTAAGGCCTAAGTTCAAGATGTGAAGAAACATGACATTATAATCTTGTGTATCAAAGAAACAAATTGATTGTTATAACCATGAATGTCATCAGGCTGTAGAATGAACCAAACCGTGTGCTTATGGCTTGCATTTGGTTCTATAAATGATTGTTGAACTTCTACTAATTAAATGAACCAATCAATAACAAAAGTTCTATATCACTGTCTTGACAATTGTTCTTGTTGCTTTATTACTAGTTAAACAAACTTGAACAATCATTTAGGATCCCTCTAAAATGCTTAGTTGTTTGCTTTCTCTTGGTACAGCTGCAGAGGAGTTGATAGAGCACTTGAGGAGTGGAAATGACAAATTAAATGCTGAAGTTACTGAATTGAGAAGTTCAGTGGCCTCTATAATGTAAGTAGATTTAATTTCATTGGTGGCCTTTACATGTTAGGATGCCAGTGTCTACTTTCTTGACCTTTTGCATGAATGCAATAACGCAGGTCCAGCAAGGACAAGCAATGTGTAGACTACCAAAAGCTTTTGATTGAAGAGAGCCAGAAGTGTAAGTAGCGATCAGTTGTTTGTATCTCTTTCTTTAAATGTAGAATATACATGTAACTGCATCAGCATCCTCAACTTTCTTAGCATTCTTCTTGCTTCGTCTTTGTTGAATATGATATTGCAAGGAAACTGGCATAAATTGATGCTGAGAGTGTTAGGTATGCTGGACAAGAACAAGAAAACAACTTGTCAGTTTAAAGGAATAAAGAAACCAGTATTATGATTTTGGTTAAAGAATTGGATTTCTATGCTCAAGTTCTTGTCTGAATAGAAAATGAATTTAGGTTTTAGGTCTATCATTAACTTTGAAGTTGGTAGTTAGGCCTTGTATTGTTCTAGAGTCTGTTGAGGTTTCCCCTTCCCCTCTCAGTATAACTTTGGAAGGTTAAATCATAGTTTTGATGGTTATCATGCTTATGACCAAATTGCAAATTCACAATTTTCTACATCTTCATTTTTATCTCCTGTTTTGACATCAATACAAAGTCAATTATTGTTTGAACACCTCAATCACTAACTGGGCACATATGAAGATGAAAACAAGTATCTTATTTTGTATGTGATGTCTTTGAAATTGTAATAAGTTAAATTTGCAGACACTGGTAATTATCGGCTAAAATATATATAAATTTGAGAGAAATTGTACCTTTCTGGGGAAAGAGGATCGAATTTGAAGCTTCTTTGTAGACTTTCCTTTGTTAGATGTTTCAACTTTCTAGCGGCATCTCTATAGCTCTTTTTTTCCACGGAATATGCTAAAAATTTATGGCAGGTAAAGCGCTTTCTGAAGGAGTTACCAGACTGATAAACCTGGCATCAAGAGGGAAATTTTAAGGGTAGCAATAGAGATAATGTACCAACAATGTCTCCAGGAAGTGTACAAGTTGCAGCAGAAAGGGTTTCTGGTAACTCCACTAGAATGGTGACAAGAAAGCATAGCAGGAAATCAGCTGCTGAGACAGAAGATAGCATCGTTACTCCTAATTTGGCTAATGGTAAAGTTACCGCATCATGTGCATTGACCGAATACCTTCCTGAGAAAGCTTTGTCATGTGAGGTTCTTCCAAATGTTCAGCTGGTATATCCCCAATTAATCATCTCTTTACTCAAAAGAGCGTGAGTTTCTACATCTTTACTGACCATTTGGATGATTATGCAGCCAGAATGCTGTAAAGGCGTAAGTGCAAATGCCACTGATTATGGAACTTGTCTGTTTGAAGTTCTTATCGAGTGCTTAGTGGGCATGAAAATGTCTGCCATTAGTCAAACTGATGGACTATGCATTTCAGCTCTGCATCAATCAAGTGGTAATTCTTAACTTGAGAATCATAGCCGGTTCATTCAATTTTGAGTATTTCCCTCTTTCTTTCGTTTCTAGTTCCCAGTATTTCCCCCTTAAAGTCGGTAGGTTATTGATATGTTGTATCTCATTATTTGAAGCATGTTTATTCATCTTGGTTTTCTTTTGCTCGAGTGGTAAATCTGAGATTTTTTTTTTCATTTTCATTGTGGCACTATAATCATCAAAAAAGCATGAAAATGAAGTTAAACACACATACGTAACATGAACTGACATAGATTTTAATGAACACAGCCATACGTACTCAGTGTTTCTGATACATCATAACTATTCAACAATTAGCTGCAGCGTACAAGAAACATACTTTCATTATTTGATACTGGATAAATGGAACAGGTTACACTTTCAGCTTAACGTGGATAAAAAAAAATGGGCGTAGAGGAAGCAGAGCTGGTGTACCGGGTATTGTTGTTAGGGACATTCGAGAGAGTGGCGCCAGAGTGGATACGGGATGTCATTATGTTCAGCACAAATATGTGCCCCGTTTTCTTGGAGAGATTAGCTCGTGTAATCAGGTTGCATTGTTAACCGGTAAACTCTCTGTTTTGAAAATCGGATCGGACCAGCCGGTTCAACTGGGAACCGTTGCTTAGTCCGGTTCAATCTAAACCGGTTGAACCGCTGCTAGTGAATCGGCCAGAACCGCTGAACCGTTCGAACCGGACCGGCTGAAAACCGGAAAAAATTGAGAATTTTGTTTTTTTAAAAAAAAAATTAAACCAAACAACGTCGTTTGTTAAATTAGCTAAGTCGAACTCTAGTATTGCTAAGCTCAACTTTAACTTGAAAACTTTAAAAGTAAGTTTAACTCAACTCAAACTCACAAGCTAAAAATTATCAAGTTCAACTCAAATTTGAAATATAATATTGAAACGTGAACTCAAAAATACTTGAACTTAAAAAAATTTATAAATTCGATTGAAGTATAAAATTCGAGCTTGATTGAAGTGAAAGAATAGTTCACTCAATGCTCATCAAAAGGCTTTATGATTTTGAATGTCAAATTACCTCTATTATTTATAGAACTTAGTTGTGATGCTCTTTTATATTTCTTAGCAATGTGATATTGTTTTGTTTACATATTTTTACTCTTTAGATTTTTGAGATGTTCTTTTATGTTTCTTAGTCATGTGAGATTGTTTAAAAAAAATTAAACCAAACAATATCATTTTGTTATGATTTTTTTAACTCTAAATTTATTTTTTAATTATAGTTATATAATTATATTTATTATTTAATATGTTTTACTTTAAATATTATGTTGTAATTAATTTGAATCATTTTGTTTCACTTGATTTTATAGTTTTTAACTTTTATATGTTATGATTTGCTTTGAATATGATTTGTGATATAAAAAAATTTTATTAAATATGTTTGGTATTTTTATTTAATTTTTAAAATAATTATGACGTCGTTTGGTTCTTTCGACCGATCGGACCGGTTCGATTGGTTGAACCAATGAATAAGTAGCATAACTGGTTCGTTAAACAGTCCGATTCTGAAAACAATGGGTAAACTTTCCTCCCCCTCTTTGGTACTTGAATCAGGTGTGAAGTAAATATGTATGACATTGGTGATAACAAATGGAATTGTGTTTATGTTTCTAATTTTTTTAATTGTGTTTGAGTTTGACCCTAAGTTTATTTGTTTAAGATATTAAAATATACTATTACTTAAATTTTATTTTATTTTTCATTAATATATTTAAAAATTTAGAACCTATATTGACTTGCAGATTACTTAGAATATCTATATCGGACCAACAAAGAAGCAAAGTTTAAAAATATTTACATATCATAAATGCTGTTTTTTTTAAGTTGTGTTGCAGGGCTGTAAATGAATATAGTGTTCGATGAATTGTTCGTATAACGTTCGTTTACATAAATGAATGAATAAAATTTTTGTTTCATTGAATAAATGAACGGACATGAATAGATGTGTGTTCGGTTCATTTATGTTTACGAACAAGCTCGTGTGAAAACTTGTTTATACGGTTCTTCTTTTTCTTTTATTTTTACATTTTAAATATTATTGAAGGCATAGACTAAATTTAACACATGGTAAACTTTAGAGTTTAAATTATGAAGCCTAAATAATTTAAAGACTAGTAGTGTAATTTCATTATTTTTTTGGTTGCAAATAAAATGATAAAAAGAATGTTGGCCGTTGAACATCAAACGAACGTTAAGTAACTAAACACAAACACATTCAAAAATAAATAAATGAACATGAGCACGAACACGAACATTTAAAAAAATAAGCAAACAAATACGATCATAATTTTATTTATTTAAAGTCGGTTCATTTATATCTTAGTTGCACAACTCATGTAACGGGTAAAGAATGTTTGAAAAGGGAAGCCAAATAGATTGAGTTTGCAGCACCCAAGTAGAAGTTAGCCCCAGAAATCGCAGGTTCAAATTGCATTCAAATAATATAACACCGAAAACACGAGTCCGAGTTTCGATCATTCACATTCGAATCATCTGTTTGTTCCAATTTGAATGATCTGATCCCTCATTTCTCTTTTCATTTAAACAAGCAGAGATTGCCAAATAAAGAACTGTACATTGCATTCCAAAGTTCAAAAAGCTTTAACACCATTACACCCCCAAATTATCAGTAATTTGGGTTCCTTTAGATGACAAAATCCTTTTCATTTCATTTGATAAAATGAAAGGTAAAAAAGAAACGAGAAAAAAAAGGCCTGATATCATACCATTGTTTACTTCCTACACCTCCAAGCCGATACCGAAAACAACGGTCGATCTTGCCAACAAATTACGACGCAACCGTTCTCTTCCTTCATTTTATACCCGTCACAGTTATACCCCTGCAGTAATCTCCTCGCGTGCAACATCCCGTAGTAACTCAAAGGGATGTTCCCAAAGCCGGCCAAGTTGAGCCTCTGTATCCACTTCTCGAGCTTTTCGTGTCTCTCCTTCCTCTCGGTTCCCTCACAAGCTATTATGTTCTTTATTTCCTCTCCAAAAAGCATCTTTTCCACCTTAAATCTCTCCAGAGATGTTCTAGCGGCCGTGGACTCCGAACAATCAAACAATGCTGCGAAAGAGTAAAGGGATTCTAATAGTCTCTCCATTAGTGTAGATCCATTATGGTTAGAATCTTGTTCTGTTACCACCATCAGTTTCGGTGACAAACCCCACAATGCATTAAGGAAGCCATCTATCTTCACTGAACCGGTTGAAGAAAGTGGTGACGATGAGGCCGAATCAGGACTAGGGCTACATCCATTAACCGTATCTTTTTCGAGCAACTCTCCTAAAGTGCTCTGGTTCATCTGGAGTGCTCTTTGCAAGTGAACTCCATTCAAATTCTTCGATCCTAAAGGCGATTTCTTTCGATGGTGTTCATCGTCAGAGGCCAAAAATGAATGCAGCTGGAGAACAGAGCTGATTGCAAGAGCCTCCCCGGTTTTAACCCGTAATTTCTCGACGTCGAGATTTTCTAATTTGCCAACAACCGGATTGAACTGAAACGGGAGGTCCAATTTTTCAGCTTCTTCGGTCAATCTATGAGCCATTTGATCCAACACTTCTTTCCGTTGATGAACTCCAGTAATCCTCAAATGAGGCTGCCCTTCAGGCCTCGCACTTAAAGCTTGAATAAGCGCAACCCACTGCGCAGGCTCAGCTGCATTAAGATCGATTATATGAACCATTTTTTCGCCTTCCATGGCTTCGATCACGGCTTGGTTCGTAAGCACAAAGGCCACCTTCAAAAAGGGGAACATCTCGAAAAACAGTTTCCGAACAAGGATTTCTTCGGAAACCAAAGCAATCCTCGTCGAATTGAGAGCCTTATGAAGACCAGGCCAGGCTTTGAGGATTCTATCAGCAAGCGCCTCGGTAAAATACGCAGCCATTCGCTGCATCGTATCGCCGTCCGGCGACGCGAGTTGGGATATTTGCTCGAGTGCAATGTTGGCATTCTCAAGGCTTCCATTCGCTACATGATTAGCACAAGTGAGCAACAAATGGATCAAATATAAACCCCTTTCTTCTGATTTCAACTCTCTAAGCCATGGATATGGTGATCCTAAGTTCGGTGAGAGTGACATCATGGAGAAAACTTGCAGAGGCGAAGATGATGATGATAAAGGCGATGATTCGTCTTGGAACATTGCAAAAAAAGTTCTGGTCTTTTTATCTAAAGAGTATATAAAGTATCAAACTTTCATGCAAAGATTGAGATTTTGCATGTAGATGGAATTCACCAGAAGGTAAAAAGTTCACAAATTTAACCAAAAACAAAACCAGATACAGAGTAATCTTTAGGCCACATGAAAATTCAGCCTAACAAATGCATCAGAGAAACAAAGACAACCCCAATTGTCTTTTAGACAAGCTCATGAAAGTAACACCAAATTCAAACACAAAACTTAGTAATAACAGAAGAAAGAAGAAATCCTTACTGGGTTTTGCAATTGATAAAAAACCCCAAACCAAATCACATAAAAGTTCCCAAGATTGGACTCTGTAATTCAAGCAAAGTATGAACAAAAAGGCTATTTTTCCCAAGAGATAAGAGGGTTTCAAAAAGAAGATAAAAGGGGGGCAATGGTATTAGGTAATGCGTGAAGGAAAGCTTTGTCCTTTTATGATTTGTTGTCGTTCCTTCTCTCAGTGGAATATGGAATTTCTGAGTAAAGCTTTTGTCTTTTACTTTCCCTCAAGTTTCAAATTAACTCAAAACCCCCCCTAAAGCTTTAATTTTTAATGTGTTTTCTTTGTCTTTGCATTAGGTGGATGGGGAATCAGTGAAGCGTTTGGTTTGGCATCTTCTCTCAAAGACCCTGCCTTTTTAACAGATTCCCAAAGGGAAGAAACCGCCAAACATGCCCTAACAAAGACAAACCAAAGAATGTGCTCTTCCCCCCTTCAATTTTGTTTCGTAGTGGGGTTTTTTTCAAAGTGTGAAAGCTCAGCTGTCCTTAAATGGTTTTGGTTTTGAAACACAATGATCATACAATTGGTAGTATCTAAATCCTTCTTTGGTATATATATGAAGACAAATAGACAAGTGAGCTAAGCTATCTTCCAACACTATAATATACTACATTTATCTTTACTTGTTGGATTATATTTTCACTTTTCTTTTTAAATATAATTAGAATTCGTATATTTAGAGACCGATATAAGATTTTATGTCTTGAATATAAAATTTTAAGAAATTATATTACTCCATTCGTCTCATATTGACCAAACTTATAGTTTTAGAAGATAAGTTTGATAATATGTTCAGTGATATAAAATGAGGGAAATGATAAAATTATCTTTAAAAATTAACTAATAGATTTGACATATTTATTTTGATATGAACAAAAGAATGAGAAATATAAGAATTAAAAAAAATATAAATGTTGTTATTTATTGATTTTTTTAATATGATAAGTTTAAAAACAAAAATGGAAAAATTTAATTGAACGGATGGAATATAAATTTAGACGATACGAAATTCTAAAATTTGAAGAGATATAAAATTAGATTATGGATAATGATTATAAAATAATACTTGAATTACATGTGAATTTAAAATTTATAAGAGGTAGGATCGTTCTCAACACTCTCAT